GGGGCTGAAGCGTTTTACCAGTCAACCACTTCCAAGTACTCCTCAGTTTCCTCTCCCGGTTCCGATGCACTTTTTCCCACTGTTTTTCACCCGCGTGGGCGATCTCCGGCTTTTTTTTTTTTGAACGCTTGCTTTATAGCGTTATAGCGCTATAACGGAATAGCATTCTATCAATCCCATTGGAATGCATGGAGTGTTTTGTTATACTGATATAGCACTATAGCGCTCTAAAGCGAACGTTCCAAAAAAAATCCGGAGATCGCCCGCACAGGGGAAAAACAGCGGGGGGAAAGCAGGAAAAAGCGGTGCAGTCTGAAATGGCAACCGCTTCAGATCCAGCTCTTTACCGGAAGGGGAAAGCCATGTGTGAAATGGCAGCCCTATACCAGTTCACTTCAAAACGGATCATTACTGGCTTGAAACTGGGTGAAATTGGGTAATGTGAAATTCCCCCCTGTCTAACCATCTCATCCTTTGCCGTACCCTTCTTTTTCCTTCAGTCCTTCCCAGCATCAGGGTCTTCTCCAGGGAGTGCTCCCTTCTCATCTGGTGGCCCAAGTATTGGAGCTTCAGCTTCAGCATCTGGTCTTCCAGGGAACGGTCAGGGTGGATTTCTTTTAGGATGGACTGATTTGATCTCCTTGCCATCCAAGGGACTCTCATGAGTCTTCTCCAGCACCAGAATTCGAAAGCATCTATTTTTCGGTGCTCGGCCTTCCTTATGGTCCAACTCTCGCAGCCATACAGTACTACTGGGAATACCATCGCTTTGACTATACGGACTTTTGTTGAGGGGGGATGTCTCTGCTTTTTATCATGCTGTCTAGGTTTGCAATAGCTTTCCCCCAAGGAGCAGGCGTCTTTTAATTTCATGACTGCTGTCACAAGACGCAATCCACTGGAGAAGGAAATGGCAACCCCCCCCCCCAGTTTCTTTGCCAAGAAAACCCCGCGGACCTGATTAACTAGGACAGCTAGATTTCAGTCCAGTAGTACCTTAGAGAGGGGCTGCGGTGGCTGAAGTGGTTAAGACGCTGAACTGCAGACTGGAAGGTCAGTAGTTCAGCAGTTTGAGACCCGAGTGCCGCGTGACGGAGTGAGCTCATGTCTCTGGCCCCAGCTCCTGCCAGCCTAGCGGTTTGAAAGCAAGAAATGGCAAGTAGATAAATAGGTACCACTTTGGTGGGAAGGGAACAGCATTCTGAGCGCTTTGGTGTTTAGTCATGCTGGCCACATGACCACGGAGAAGTCTTCAGACAGTGTCGGCTCTTCAGCTTGGAAATGGAGATGAGCACCGCATCCCTAGAGTCAGATTCGACTGGCTTTCGAGCAAGGGAAACCTTTATCTTTACTTATCCAGAGCAGAAACCCCATGGACCTGAGTAACCAGGACACCTAGATTTGAGTCCAGTAGTACCCTTAGAGACCAACAAGGTTCTTGGGGTATGAGATTTTGACACTCTCACAAAGCTTATACTCCCAATACCTTGAGGGTCTCTAACGTGCTACTGGGCTCAGTTCAAGAATATGACAAAGGGAGATTTAACACTTGGAAGTTCATACCCAAAAAATCTCATTAGTCTCTGAAGTGCTACTGGACTTGAATTGAGCTGTTCTACCGTAGACCAGCATAACTGCCTTCTGAAACGGAATAGCTAGATCAAAGTGAGCGGCCATGTTGGTCCGAAGCAACAGAAAAAAGTTAAGAGTCCAGTCAGGCACCTTTAATAAGACCAACCGAGTTTTATTCAAGGCGTGAGCTTTTGTCTGCACGCACCCTTCGTCAGACATTGAAATGGAATTACAGATCATACTGGTACATATACCTACAAGGTGGCTTGTTCAATTGGCATGCAAAGCAGTGAAGTGTTTTTTTAACTGATCAAAAGAATGACAAGCTCGGTTTCTGGTTATCGTCTGCTTCGGTTCAACTGGGGGGGGGGGAACACATAGGTAATAAATATGTCAGAACTGGAGATTGACGTACCATAAATTGTGAGGAATTCAGTCATTTGATCCTATCAGTCATTTGATCCGATCCATCTCCTTTCTAGCAAACTGAGAGCCAGTTTGGTGTGGTGGTTAAGTGCGTGGACTCTAATCTGGGAGAACCGGGTTTGATTCCCCACTCCTCGACTTGCAGCTGCTGGATGACCTTGGGCAAGCCGTAGTTCTGTCAGAGCTGTCCTTGAAAAAGAGCAGTTTCTGTCAGAGCTCTCTCAGCCCCACCTCCCTCACAGGGTGTCTGTTGTGGGGAGGGGGAAGGGAAAGGAGTTTGTAAGCCGCTCTGAGACACCTTTGGGTAGTGAAGGACGGGGTATAAATCCAATCTCTTCTCTTCTTCTTCTTCTTCTAGCATGGAGGCAAACTTTAAAGCATCCTGGCTGTGTAGAGTATTTTTCTTCTCCCCAGAATAGAGAATTACATTCAAATCTACCATTCCAAATTTTTATAGCTAGATTCACCCGTAGACAATTGTCCATGCGTGTAAAGTGCCGTGAAGTCATAGCTGACTTGTGGTGACCTCATAGGGTTTTTCAAGGCCAGTGAGAAGCAGAGGTGGTCGGCCATGGTCTTCCTCTTCACAGCCTTCCTTGGTGGTCTCCCATCCAAGTGCTGACCCTGCTTAACTTCTGAGATCTGACAAGAGACTTATGGAGACCACAGCAAGGGGCTTCCCAGGCAAGTGAGAAGCAGAGGTGGTCGGCCATGGTCTTCCTCTTCACAGCCTTCCTTGGTGGACTCCCATCCAAGTACTGACCCTGCTTAGCTTCCATCGGACAAGATTGGGCTGTACCATTCCACTTTCCCTCCTGAGCTGATTAATCAGCCATAAATGTGATGTTGGGGCAAAAAGTTCACACAGATTTAATAAGGAACGTTCTTCAGGCCATCACAAACTGAATCCAGCAGAAACTGAGGGACAGAAACATGGGAACATGGGAACGTAAGAGGAGTCATGTTGGATCAAGCCAGTGGCTCATCCAGTCCAACACTTTGTGACACGCAGTGGCGAAAACCCAAGGATATGAGGCGGACCTGTAAGTCATGGGTGACCATGATACCAAAACACAGGGTGGGGGCCCGGGACCCAACCTGTGCCCTCTGTAATGCATGAAGAGACAGTGGGTTGTCCAATGCTCCCTCTAAGCTGTAGAGTCTTTGTGAGCAAAAATTCTACTTTGTGAGCTGCTGGCATTAAAGTTGTGAGTGAGCAATTTGGCTACTGCATAAATCACTTTGCCCTGGAGCCGTCCTTCCAGAGCTAAGCCAGAACTGTGTGAGCCGGAGGCTAAAAAACTGAGAGCTAGCTCACACTAACTCAGCTTAGAGGGAACATCTCGAGGCGGACTGAGGCGGCCCATCTCGGAGGAGCAGATTTTGAAATGTGTTTATTTTTTATTTAAAACGTTTTCGTGACACCTTTCCACCCGGTCAGGGCCCCTTTCACATTAAACATTAAAACTTTCGAACAATTAAAAACAACACAAAACAATTCAATAAAAACACTTGAGCAACACCAGAACCGGGAAGGGAGGGGGGGGGGGGAGGTTAGTAGATGTTATTGGTGGTTTGCCAAACAAAACGAAACAGTCCTCCAACCCAACTGGCAGAAGACACTGATAGTGGGAGAGAGACGAATCTCCCTGGGGTGGGAGTTCCAAATTTTTGGTACCACAACTAAGAAGGCCCTTTCCTTCTTGGGTTGCCACCCATCTAGGCGAAGCAACCAAAACGGGATCTCCAAAGATAACCAGAACTGCCATTAAGGGGCTAGGAAAGACTCAATTATGTTGAGGGGCGGGCACCATTTCCACGTTCTGCCTCGGGCAACCCTGGCCCATAGCCCATCTGCAAGGGTGCTTATTAGCCCAGAAACAGAACTGCCTTTTAAAATCTCCTCCCTTGATCAGTCAGACTAGAATAAGGAAGGGATGCCACACGTAGCCAGTCAGACATCTCTGTGTTAACCTCACAGGAACTTTGTGTGGTAAATGCCAAACAGGGTTGCTGCCAAACCATTCTTCAGCACCGGATACCCAACCACGAATCAAAGAATGGATACCAGCAAGGCTTCCTCTAAGCTGTGGAGTCTTGTGAGCAAAAATTCTACTTTGCGAGCTACTGGCATTACAGTGGTGAGCGAGTGATTCGGCTGCTGCATAAATTACTTTGCTCTGGAGCCATCCCTCCTGAGCTAAGACAGAAATGTGTGAGCCGGAGGCTAAAAAAACTGTAAGCTAGCTCACACTAACTCAGCTTAGAAGGAACACTGGACGCCAGTGAGGGTGGCTGTCTGTTCGCACCCCATCACGAGAGCAGGACAATTTATACCAAAGCAATCGATTAAAGAGAAGAGCGAGACATTTGAACAGGTTCCGTTTAACCCACCGTTCTTGAGCCCGTGGGCACCTTTGAAATCCTGACGTAGCGTGGTAGGCCCAACCACAAAATGGCTGCCACAGGAGGCAGAGCCAGACACAAAATGACTGCCATGGGAGGTGGAGCCAAACACAACATGGCTGCCGCAGGAGGTGGGGCCACACACACAAAGAGAAAACCCAAGGGCATGGGCGAAGGGGGATAATTTTTTTAAAGAAATCCACCAGGAAAGAGGAGTAAGAGAGCAAACAAAAGCAACACTGTGATGGCAGCTACCAATAAGATATGATTTAAATACAGATCTCCACTGGCCAGTCAGGAGCCCTGACAGTTAACAGCTCCTGCACAGCCAATCACAGCCAATCTCCCAATCTGCCAGTTAACACCCGCCCGCATAGCCAATCAGCCCCCGCTGGCCCCACCATTTTCTAAGAGCATCTGGCAGGTGTCAGGAAAGGTGTCCTTTAGTAACACGTTGGGGACCCCTGGTCTAACCATCTAAAAAAGAGAGATAAAGGGGGAAAAAGACAAACTGGTTCTTCTCTTCTCAAAGATATTTATCTGAACAGAATGGCTTATTTGGTCTTTTTTTTTTTTTTTTTGCTTCTGTTTTGCAGCATCTTAGAGTCCGCACAATGGGGGGGAACGAGTTCTTCACCCGCTCAGCTATGAGGTTCAAGGGTGCCTTGGCTCAGAAATTCATGTTTGTGGATGGCGACAAAACCATGACTGGGTCTTACAGGTACGTGTGTTCCTTTAGAAACAGCTGAGAATCTGCGTGTTTGTCCAGAATTGCTTGATTGAGAGCTTGGTCCAGTGAGCGAGAACTTCTACAACAGATACTGGTTCGAGGGCCGTGAGAATTTCAGTTTTGTTCTGAAGAGTTCTGAGCGTAGACTTTAAATGTGGGAGGCAATTGTGGGGTTTTCTCTTCTAAAATAACTTGTACTTTATTGTATGGTAAAGCATGAAGGGATTCGCTTTAAGCCCAGAAATTAATTCTCGGTTTGCTTCCACCCAGCTTCACCTGGTCTGCTGCAAGAACCGACAGGAATGTCATTTCGGTCCTCTCTGGTCAGGTGGTGGAGGCCTTTGACAAGCAGTTCCAAGAACTGTACCTTCTGTCTCGGGCAGTCAGCCTGAAGTCCATCCCCATGGATGAGGAGCCGGAACCTGAGCCCGTGATCCTGCCTTCCGTTAGTCCTGTGACCCCGGGCAATGCTGCAGTGAAGAAACTCGTCCACCCCAAATATGCCCTGGTGAAGGCAAAAAGCGTTGAGCAGATCACCAACAGCAATCACACAAACAGTGACCAGAATCACACTGACCAACAGAGGGCAGAAGCCAAAGGGAAGGTTAGCCTGGAAGAGCGGGCGTCCAGACAGCCAAGCGACTTTGTGGAGACAGCACCTCCTATCCATCCGGGGCTCCTGAACCTGGAGAAAGCCAATATGTTCGACTACCTGCCCACTTGGGTTGAGCCCGACCCTGAACCGGGAAGCGAGGTGTTGGGTTACATTAACATTATTGACCCCAAGATCAAAATCATTCAGCCCTCTCAAATGAACCGCATTAAAGTCTGTGATATCTCCCAAGCCAAAGCACAGCACAGACAGATGCTCAAACAGAAAATGCAGGACAGCGAAAAAAATCAGAGCAACCAGGCTGCCCCTGCCTCCCCCTGCCGTCTCAATACTGCTTCTTCCTCCGTCCAAATTCCAGAGGCCCCTAACCCTACAGGACACATTCAAAAAGCCCCTAGCCCTACAGGACACATCCAACAGACCCCTAATACTAAGGGACAAATCCAGAAGGCCCTTAACCCTATGGGACACAACCCGGAGGCCCCTAACCCTACGAGACACAACCAGGAGACCCCTAACACTACGGGACACAACCAGGAAACCCCTAATGCTACGAGGCACAACCAGGAGATTCCTAAAACTACGGGACACAACCAGGAGGCCCCTAACCCTACGAGACACAACCAGGAGACCCCTAACCCTACAAGACACAACCAGGAGACCCCTAATGTTACGAGACACAACCAGGAGTCCCCTAACGCTAAAGGACACAACCAGGAGGCCCCAAATGCCACGGAACAAATCCAGGAGACCCCTAACCCTAGCCCAACTGAAAGGACTCCCAGCAAACCCAAAACTGGAGATGCTTTTGCCACTTTGGCCTTTAGCGAGCACTTGAAGCAGCCCCCATGGACAAAAGCTCATGAGCCAACAGCGGACAATGGCGTCACTCCCCCAGTCCCCAAACCGAGAACTGTTCACGTGACAGACTTTATCTCCCTGAAAAGTGTACCTGTCAGGGATGGAGCTGCCGTAGCAGAAGGCACCCAGCCGGAGCAGCTGGAAACAGACAGTGCCAGCCCAAAGTGCAAGGAAAGCCCCGCAAAGGCTGAAGACGGGGGGAGCCACTGCAGGCTGACGAGGCAAGAGGCTGTGTCTCAGAAAGCTGCCACCTGCCCCATGAACGGGGTGCAAGGGGGCGAGGCAGAAGAGGACGAGGAAGAGGCCTACCTAACGTTCAGTGACCAGGGGAGTTTGTCGGGCAGTTCGACGGCCCACAGCCACCCACACTCCAACGCCTCCTCCATCTCAGACGAGTACTTTGAGGTGAGAGACCGCTTTGGGCCCCTGCGCCGGACCAACTCTGATCTCCTCCCCAATGGAGGAGGAGGAGAGCTTAGCCCTCACGAGCACCCAGGCCTTCAGAGAAAGCTGAGCGAGCCACACGTGAGCCGGGGCACCTTTGTGAGCCCTCTAGGCAGCCCCCAGCCGGTGCTGCACGTGGGTTTGGAAGAGGCCAGCAGGCAGAGGAGGCGGAACAACAGCATAGAAGAGATTAGGTGCGTTTTGGGAAGGGGCCGTAGCCCACGTCCTTTACCCGATGGCTACAATACCTGTCCGAGCAATGCTCCACAGGTAGGATTATCTGTTGTAACTTTCTATGCATAATTCTTTTTTTGTACATGCCATGCAAACACACTGAAGTAGTTCAGTGAGACCAGCTACAATATTAGCATTCCGTTTTATTAACACATCGGAATATTAATATGTATAAGACACAGAGTGATTTGGGCAACAAAGGTAGTTATCACTTGATAGCAGCGTCGTGGTTTATCCCCGGGGGAACTATCTCCACATATGCGTTGGGTAACAGGAAGGCTGGACTTGCACGTACCCTGAATAACCGCAAAGATAAACAGCTTAGGTTCCCACACAGCAGGAAATGGGCAGTTATCATTTGAGTCTAATATGTGCCTCACTCAAGTTTTGAAAACAAGCTTGGCTGTCCACTTGTGTTTACATCAAAGGTGTTACAAAGCCCTCACGTGAACTCTGATCGAACGTGGGCTTTTCATGCTCAGAATTTAATTCCCAGGTGTGGGAAGGCCAATTCAGATCGGGACCACAGCATGCAGGGAAAAGGGACTTAAACCTTCATCTCCTGTACTATTTTCCCATTTCGAAGGGGCCCCCATGAAGTTGCCATTCACCCCATAGAGGAAATTTATATGTAGCTGTCAGTACGGGGCAGTTTCCCCAAACTCATCAGGTGAGCACAGACATCAGGGCCTTTTCGGTGGCGGCCCCACGGTTATGGAACAATCTCCCTGGCCCCCTCACTCTCGATTTTCAGAAGGCCATTGAAGACAGCTTTATTTAGGACTGCATTTGACAGATTTTTTAAAAAATTTATTTATTGGAGATTTTAAATTGTGGTCTTCTGAGTGTTTTTATCACTGTTGTTTTATTTATATTGTAAGCCGCTTTGAGTCCTGCGGGGTAGAAGCGGCTAACGAATGTCTTAAATAAAATAATGTAGAGGAATCCCTGGCACTCTGAATTCACTTCAGGCTAAGATCATGCCTGTGATCGTATAAGCAAGCCAGCAATCAAACCAACTTGACGGATCCCCTCGGGATAACGTAAATGAGCTCCGAACAAGAAGTCAAATTAGCGTGAAGGATGAAGGCAGGGTCTGGATTCCAGAAGAAGCCTCCTGTCAAATAGGGTTGCCAGGTCTGGGTTGGAAAATACCTGGAGACTTTGGGGGTGGATCCAGGAGAGGGCGGGATTTGGGGAGGGGAGGGGCCTCAGCCTGGTCCAATGCCAGAGAGTCCACCCTCCGAAGTAGCCATTTTCTCCAGGGGAGCTGATCTCTGTCAGCTGGAGATCAGTTGTAAAAGCGGGAGATCCCCAGGCCCCACCTGGAGGCTGGCAACCGTACTGTCAAATCATCCGGAAAAAATTCTGAGCTGTCCCTTCTAGCCAAACCACACAGCTCTTCCTCTTGTTGAGTTCTCCACTTCTCTCACCGGAAAGATTACAATTTAATAGCTCATGTCAAAGGACCAGAGGCAAGACGTCTGTCATTTCCAAAATTCACTTCACACCTCCGGCAGCCAAAACACATCAGGCCTCCTTTTCCCCCTCAAAAGTCTTATGTCCTGTTGCCCAAAAGTCTTATGTCCTGTTGCCCACTCTCGCTAGATTTATCCCTCTGCCACCCCAAGTCAGAAGAGAGAGCTAGCTTTGAGGGGGAACCGATCAGGGGGTTAAGAGATCCAGGGAAGAACCCCAGACAGGCTTGTTCCACAACGTGGAATTCTTGTCGTCACAAAGCCGAGGCGTGGCACAGCCAATGAACAGAAGCATGCCCTGCTCGACGGTTGTTGCAGGAATCCTTTTCAAGTGCATGCGTCATTACTCAAGAGCAAGCCCAGGACCATGCTGTCAAACAGGAAGGGTGGCGTCTGTTTGTCAACACGGCGGCAGCCCATTAGTCGGGTTGTGTGTTTCGAGGCCAATCCAAGTTTGCATTCTCCAACCAACGCCAGAATGACAACATCAAAACTCGTGTTCTCCGAGGCCTGTCCCCAAATCATCAAGAGACTAAAAACAGAAATCTATAAATGCAAACAAGATGAGGCCAGCTGTATAGCAAAGCAAGGGGAGCCGGTGGCCTGGGGTGGGGTGGGGGGGACAGATTTGGGAGGGTAGGAGAAGCCACCACCAGCTTGGGCAATTCCTAGAGATTTGAGAGTGGCGCCTGTGAAAGAGGGAGTCTAGGAAGGGGTTTCACCTAGAATCTATGGTATACCATAGAGTCTGCCCTTCAAAGCTGCCCTTTTCTCCACGGAAACTGATCTCCATCATCACAACGGATCTCTTTTTCCAAACTGTGCATTGTGATATCCAGACTACAGAGATCCATTACCCTGGAGAAAATGGCAACTCCGGAGGGCAGGGCCTATGGTATACCACAGATTCAGTCTGAAATCCCTCTCTCAATCGACCCCCTCCACAGGAACGTCCCCCCAAATCTCCAGGAATTTCTCAGGCCAGTGTTGGCATCCCTAACCCCATCTGGTCAAGCAACCCGTTCCCAGAGTTCCCAGTCATGTGCTTCTGGAGACACCAGTGGAAGCGCACCGAGGGAATGGCCTGTTCCATTTGGCCCCTAGCATTTCATGCTCAGATGCAGACTGAAGATGGAGGCTTTATGTAGCTATCACGGCTAATCGAGGTTGATTGTGCGGACTCTAATCTGGGAGAACCGGGTTTGATTCCCCACTCCTCCACTTGCACCTGCTGATGTGACCTTGGGTCAGTCACAAGCTCTGGCACAGCTGTCCTTGAAAAAGAGCCGTTTGTGTCAGAGTTCTCTCAGCCCCACCCACCTCACAGAGTGTCTGTTGTGGGGAAGGGAAGGGAAAGGAGTTTGTCAGCCACTCTGAGACACCTTTGGGTAGTGAAAGGCGGGGTATAAATCCAATCTCTTCTCTTCTCTTCTTCCTATCATCCTCCAAGTATAGATCTAATTCCCCTTAAAAGCAGTCCAAGTGGCCATCACAACATTGCAACACCCTGAATTCAAAAGATTAATGACTCACTACGGGAGAAACAAGCATCCCCTTGTCTGATCTGAATCTAATTAGGATTGACCACATCGGGTGACAGTGAATTTTAATGAAACAACGTTTGAGTCCAGTGGCACCTTTAAGACTAACGACGTTTTATCCTGGGGATAAGCTTTTGTGTGCGTGCACTGTGAATTTTAACGTTTGGGGAAAGTGGACAGAGCCCTTTCAAACGGCGCATCATTTTATAAAACTCCACCATTTCTCTTTCCCGTCGTGTCATTTCTTAACTTCTCTCCTCAAATGCCTTCAGAGCAAGACCCCTGCCCACGTTGAGAGCTAAGAAATTTTAATGCCCCCCTTGAAGATTTATAACGGGTAATTTCCATTCTCAGACGTCTGACCAGCCTCTTAACGGGTCCCACAATTCCAAGGGGTTGTTTGTTTATTTAGATCGGGGGGGGGGGTGTTTCTCCCATGCAGTAACCACGGAAACCATGGCTCCCGCCTAGATCTTTCCTGGTGCCTGCCCGGTATTTCTAGAAAGTGGGCAGGGTGAGGTGAAGCTTTCGCCCAGCAAGGCTCCTGATTGGCCACTAGAGATTTGATTGGCCAATTGCTTTGGCCGCCGCTGCCACCTCAGCTCAGGGATCTTCCTCTGTGTTACTGAAGTTAAGCTGCAGCAGCCATTTTGAGGCTGGCCCCGCCTCTTGTGGCAGCCATTTTGTGGCTGCGCCCAGCACACTGGGTCATAATTCCAAAGGTGCTCGCGGGATCAAAAATGCTGGAGGCCTCTGATTTAGATATTTTTACCTTGCTTTTCTCCCCGATGGGGATCCAAAGTATCATACAACATCACTCCCCCCCCAATCCTCCAGCTTTATCCTAACAAACACCCCGCGAGGTAGGTGAGGCCGAGAGAAAGCAACCAGCTCAAGCTCACACAGACAGAGAGGGGATTCGAACCCGGCTCTCCCAGATGCCAGTTTGGCACGCTAAGCATCACGCGACGCTGACTGTCGCCCACACAATACTGCTTCCGCACGCTTAGCGCCAGCAAGCAGGCTTACTGCCACGGACCACATGACACCGCGGCACTGCAGATGAAACAACCTACCCGAGCCCCAAACATCATATGCCTGCTTTGTACCGCCTAAGAAGCTTTAAAGTTGCCCTTCATGTGGCAGGATTTTGCAAGACTAGGCGTGCCAAGGGCTTTGAAGCTCTTGACGCCGCCTCTGGGTCAGGCTGTTGTTAAGAGAACTTTCAAGAAGCTTCGTAGGGCATTCCCACGGGGTGCCTGTCCATTAAAACCACCAAAACCTGCCCGGCGCATTTTCTTTCGTGTAAAATATGAGATGTGTCCGAAGGGCAATTCTGTGTCCCTATGGCCGAATGCAGATCCATGAGGGTTTTGTTCCGCCCACCCCATCCCCTACATACAGGCTTTACCAGTTAGTCAGTTTCAATAAACCAGTTAATACACTTTACCAGTTAATCAGTTTCAATAATAAATTTGTTCCCTGGCAGGTGTGGTGTAGTGGTTAAGAGTGGTGGACCCTAATCTGGGAGAACTGGGCTTGATTCCTCACTCCTCCACATGCAGCCAGCTGGGTGACCTTGGGTCAGTCACAGTTCTCTCAGAGCTGTTCTCTCAAGGGTAGTTCTCTCAGAGTTCCCTCAGCCCCACCTACCTCACAGGGGGTCTGTTGTGGTGAGGGGAAGGGAATGAGATTGTAAACTGTTCCGAGACTCCTTCGGGTATTGAAAAGCAAGGTCTAAAGACCTAGACCGATTTCCTACAACCCTCTCCCCCAATTGTATGTGTCAATTTCCCACTATTTGCTGCGTGGCCGCATTTTGCCCTGCAGCTTCTCCCGATTTCCCCCGTGTCTACTCAATCCTAAAAAAAAAGGATGATCCCAATCCTTTTGCAATGTTATTTATTCTACTTGCACTAGCACTTTGCCTATGTTTTATTCTGCCTTTCAACCAGCAGTATTTTCCAGGTTTGCCACTATTTACTTTTCTTCTATTTATCACCCCATTGCGACATTGAGGAATTTCAGATTACCCTTTTTAAGCCGTTTTGAAGCCATTTTTGATCCATCGTGGAGTAAACCGGTATAGGGCTGCCATTTCACACATGGCTTTTCCTTTCCAGTAAAGAGCTGGATCTGAAGCAGTTTGCCATTTCAGACTGCACCACTTTTTCCCGCTTTTCCCCTGCTGTTTTTCGCCCACACGGGCGATCTCCGGCTTTTTTTTTTAACGTTCGCTTTAGAGCTCTATACCGCTATAGTGCTATACAGGGGTCTTGTTGTAGAAAAAGAGCTGCCGGAGCTCATTAGCATAACTCATTAGCATAACTTATTTGCATATGCCACGCCCCCTGACATCACCGGAAGTGACAGAAAGCCACACCCCCTGACATCACCGGAAGTGTGTCAGAAGGCCCGGCTACTTACCCTCCTGCTTCATCCTCATTCCCAAACGGAATGAGGATCGAAGCAGAGGGCGGGGTAAAGAAGGGGGCGGGGCTTCACCACGTGACCGCCCCGCCCCCTAGAGGTTCTCTTCCGGAGCTCCGTACCTGAGAGCTCCCCCCCGACTAGAGCCCTGGTGCTATAACACAACACTCCAGGCATTCCAATGGGGTTGATATAATGCTGTTGTGTTATAGTGTTATACCTTTATAGCGCTATAGAGCAAACATTTTAAAAAAAGCCGGAGATCGCCCGCGCGGGCAAAAAACCGCAGGAAAAAGTGCATTGGAACTGGGAGAGGAAACTGAAGACTACTTGGAAGCGGTTGACAGATAAAACGCTTCAGCCCCATTTCCTAAACGGGACAGAAGGGTTTGTGTGTGAAATTACAAATATATTCCAGTAGGGAACCGGTTCTAAAACGGTTCTGTCTGATATGACAGACCAGAAACCGTTTGGGAACCGTTCCTCTTCCAGATTATATTGTCTGTCTGAAATTCCTCATTGTGATTTCATTCCGGCTTGCCTCTTCCAGGTACAGTTGTCCAAACGATGTTATTGCTGGAGACTATTTGTGCAATTGCTTGTAATTCTGTTGTTTTAGCTGATCGTTTTTATCGTTTGAACTGTTTTTGAAGTTGCCTCAGAATTTTATTTTTATTTTTTTAAATTGGGAGGTTGGAGTAGAAAATGTTTCCAATAAATCAATAAAGTAATGCAATTCTCAGACTGCTTCCAGAACTGCTAAGAGAACGTTAACTTGTGCCGAAAAGGGTTTATTCCTCCTGCAATTATAAGAACACAAGAGAAGCCAATGTTGGATCAGGCCAATGGCCCATCCAGTCCAACACTCTGTCACACAGTGGCCAAAAATACCAGATGCCATCAGGAGGTCCAGCAGTGGGGCCAGGACACTAGAAGCCCTCCCACTGTTTCCCCCCACAAGCACCAAGAAGACAGAGCATCACTGGCCGCAGGCATAAAGACATAATAGAAGCCATGTTGGATCAGGCAGTTATAAGAACACAAGAAAAGCCAATGTTGGATCAGGCCAATGGCCCATCCAGTCGAACACTCTGTCACCCAGTGGCCAAAAATACCAGATGCCATCAGGAGGTCCAGCAGCGGGGCCAGGACACTAGAAGCCCTCCCACTGTTGCCCCCCATAAGCACCAAGAAGACAGAGCATCACTGGCCGCAGGCATAAAGACATAATAGAAGCCATGTTGGATCAGGCCAATGGCCCATCCAGTCGAACACTCTGTCACCCAGTGGCCAAAAATACCAGATGCCATCAGGAGGTCCAGCAGTGGGACCAGGACACTAGGAGCCCTCCCACTGTTGCCCCCTCCCCCAAGCACCAAAGAAGACAGAGCATCCCTTGCCCCAGATCGAGAGTTCCTATCTATATGTTGTGGCTAATAGATATCTACTATCTATTATGAGCTGTGTCTGTTCCACTCCCGTGCCGCACAAGGGAAGAAATTCGCACTCGATGCTTTTCTGGTTCAAGAAATCAGGTTTCTAGCCCTTATTGACTGCAAAGTTAGGCTCAAAGCTAATGAAATGAAATGGTGGGGGGGTGCATGGACAGGACTAATAAGGATAAAGGGTAAAACATACCTCTTTGCTCCTTCCCCTGACTACCCAAATAATTTTTCAAATAATTGAGAAATGACTTTTTACATCACGTCACACCGTTTACTTTTTCCTCGGCGGAAGACTCTTCATTCCTTAAACAGAACAAATGGCCAATAGTCCCTCTAAGCTGTGGAGTCTTGCGAGCAAAAATTCTACTTTGTGAGCTACTGGCATTAAAGCTGTGAGCGAGTGATTTGGCTACGGCATAAATTAGTTGTCCTTCCTGAGCTAAGACAAAAATCTGTGAGTTGGAGGCTAAAAAAACTGTGAGCTAGCTCACACTAACTCAGCTTAGAGGGAACACTGCAAATGGCCTACCCATATCTTGGCCTTACAAACAGGACTGCAAACAGGACTGTGTTTATCCCTCTGAGGATGCCGGTCACAGCTCCTGGCAAAACGTCAAGTCTTACAATGCCAAGACCACAGCCGTATAACCCAGAACATCTACAGCAGCTAAAGAACTGCAAACAGTTAGTCAATTAATTCATGGGCAATTAATGAGGTCAGTCAGCAAATTAAGACGCTTTTGACAAAATTGTCACTTTTGGTACTTTGCCGGCGGCCGTGACTATCTCTGAACCGGCATCCCGCCCTCCTCGCCTCGGAGGGAACCGCCTCTCCTAAGACGGTCCCTTCCATGTAAACAGAACGAAAGAATGTTCGTTTCTGCAGAATTATTGTTTCACTCGTGAATCAGCAAACACCCACATAATGGCTAGACAAAGCCTGACTTCTGAGCGACTCAGCAGTCGCTCAGACCACAAGCTAAGCCCACATTCGGAAACCTTGGTATCGAAAGCCGTTTCCCTAACACCGCCTGGGCTGCCACTTAAGTCCACCTGTTCTTTAAGACACTTCCAGCAACACAATCGGCATGGCGGGGCACACCCGAAATGACACTGCTATGCAGATATGATGGGGAAGGAAGGTCAGGGATAATCAAGATGGAGCCGGGCAGAATTACAGGAAAAACTTTGTTACCCGGCACTCAGTTATCCAGAACTCTTATTATCCAGCGCTTCAGAGGGGCCCAGCCCGTTCCTCCAGCCACCATGCCCTTGAATCTTTGGGAGAGTGTATTCTTCATGGACACCTCTCCAAACAGAGCGTTGAATGGCTCTGGCACTGACAGATGATGTCATCTTTGGGTGCCCAGTTCCCCCCTTGGTCTATCAGCAACCAGTTCTGCAGGAGAGGATTGTGCCCCCTGCCAATCCACTCGTCTGCCTGCTGTGTAGGACAGTGCCACGGCTCTGGGGGAAGAGTCCCACCAGCCGTGGGAGCAGTCACAGTGTTCCAAGGAGGGCAGGGGGTTTGGTCACTGCAATTTCCTCTGAGTGGGGGGGGGGGATGCAACAGTTTATTTACTGACTTCGTTTCTCCCCAACGGGGACCCCCAAAGCGACTTATAACATTCTCCCCCCTCCATTTTTTCCTCACAACAACCCTGTGAGGTAGGTCAGGCTGAGAATACATCACCGGCCCAGGGTCACCTAGCAAGCTTCCATGAAGCTCCAGTATCCAGCACATTTGATTATTTATTTATTCACTGAATTCATTTACACCCCCGCCTTTCTCCCAAATGGAGACCCCCAAGGCGGCTCACATCAATCTCCTTTCCTCCATTTTATCCTCACAACATCCCTGTGAGGTAGGTTATGCTGAGAGTGTGTGACCGGTCTAAGGCCACCCAGCGAGCTTCCACAGCATGAGTGGAGATTTTAATCTGGTTCTAAGAACACAAGAGGAGCCAATGTTGGATCAGGCCAATGGCCCATCTAGTCCAACACTCGGTCACACAGTGGCCAAGAATGGCCCCTAATATCCATTCTCCCAGATCCAAGCCCGATGGTCTTCACCACCACACCACAGAACGCTGGCTCTCAGTCTCCTTGAATGCCAGATAACAAAGCTTTTACTGTATCAGACAAGACGAAGCCTAAGACGTAATTTAGTGATTCAACAGAGGATGAAACACAAGGGGAGGATATTGTAGTGGGAGCGTTCAAGAGGCGGACAACCGCTTTGAAAGCCGCATCACAATTGGACAATTCATGAATCCTACCGTTATTACTGAACTTCCAACTCATCGTCTTCTCTAAAAGAAGAAACCGTACAATAGTCAACACAAAGAATTCCCAGTGTCTTCTTTCTGAGGTTTACCTGGATATAAGATCCGGCTGATCATTCCGGGCATGATTATGACAATCATGGGCAGCATTTTTAAACAGCTGGCGAGGATGGATCCGGCCTTGGCGTGGTTCAGGTCTCTGGCCGACAGAGATCTTTGGACAATCACCTGCCAGGAAAGAAGAGGGTCAGAAATCTAGGTTGGGCTTACTTCTGTCCAGAATTCACACCTGGCCTCGATATTAGCTGATTTTTTGTTTGTACTCTCAAAGGTGATGCACAGAAAACTCAGCAAAAAAAATTTATTTACTTGTTTTCACTTACTTCACTTCTACCCCAGTTTTCTCACCAAGGGGGTCCCACCCCCCACCCCAAAAATGGCTAGCAACATTCTGAAAATAGATTCAGGTGGGGTCGCCGTGTCGGTCTGACGCAACAGAACAAAGTCAGAGTCCAGTCAGACACCTTTAAGGCCAACAAAGTTTTAATTCTGGGTATAAGCTTTTGTGTGTGTGCACACTTCTTCAGATATCTGAATGCACACAAAACCTTATACCTAGATAGAAGAGGAGGAGGAGGAGGAGATTGGATTTATACCCCACCATTCACTACCCAAAAGAGTTTCGGAGCGGTTTACAAACTCCTTTCCCTCCCCCTCCCCACAACAGGCACCCTGTGAGGTAGGTGGGGCTGAGAGAGCTCTGACAGAACTGTCCTTGAGAGAACAGCTCTGACAGAACTACGGCTTGCCCAAGGTCATCCAGCAGCTGCAGGTGGGGGAGTGGGGAATCAAACCCGGTTCTCCCAGATTAGAGTCCGCACACTTAACCACGACACCAAACTGGCTCTGTTTGTTCGGTTTGAAGAAGCGTGCATGCACACAAAAGCTTATACCCAGAATTAAACTTTGTTGGTCTTGAGCTGTGGTGGCTCAGGATTTATACCCCACCATTCACTACCCAAAAGAGTTTCGGAGCGGTTTACAAACTCCTTTCCCTCCCCCTCCCCACAACAGGCACCCTGTGAGGTAGGTGGGGCTGAGAGAGCTCTGACAGAACTGTCCTTGAGAGAACAGCTCTGACAGAACTACGGCTTGCCCAAGGTCATCCAGCAGCTGCAGGTGGGGGAGTGGGGAATCAAACCCGGTTCTCCCAGATTAGAGTCCGCACACTTAACCACGACACCAAACTGGCTCTGTTTGTTCGGTTTGAAGAAGCGTGCATGCACACAAAAGCTTATACCCAGAATTAAACTTTGTTGGTCTTGAGCTGTGGTGGCTCAAGGGGTTCAGACGCTGAACTGCAGGCTGTGGAAGGTCGGTAGTTCAGCAGTTCGAGACCCGAGTGTGCCGCATGACGGAGTGAGCTCCCGTCTCTAGTTCCAGCTCCTGCCAACCTAGCAGTTTGAAAGCAAGAAATTGCAAGGAGATAAATAGGTGCCGCTTCGGTGGGAAGGGAACAGCGTTCCATGCGCCTTGGTGTTTAGTCATGCCGGACCCATGACCACGGAAACGTCTTCGCACAGCGCTGGCTCTTTGGCTTTGAAACGGAGATGAGCACCGCAACCCTAGAGTCGGACTCGACTGGCTTTCGAGCAAGGGAGACCTTGCCTGACTGGACTCGCTCTGGCGAGGGGATTTGGGGGGGGGATTCCAGGGTGTCCCCGAATGTGATGATGTCATCTGGAACTGATGTAATCACATCAAGGAATTGTGTGGGGAACGCTCTGGTTTAAGGGCAAGACTTTATGGTAAAACCGGCCTAAAACCATAGAGTTTTGCCCTTAAACCAGAGAATCCCAGCGTGATGACATCATTTCTGGGTGATATCATCACGCAGGGATGGGACTGGGAAGCCTAACTCAAATTTTGTTCCATTTGCAAAAGTACACGTTCCCCGCAAATACTTGATCAAAACCGTCTTTCCAGAGCTGCTCTGTTTCAAAAAGAGGTGGGATGGGGTGATCCATGGAAAATTCCAGAAATCAGCCAGTTGTTTCGATCGTGGTGTGAACATTTAGTATTTATTTACCTAAATATGTATACTAAGGTACTTATTGTAGACCTGGGGAAGGCACGGAACAGGAAACCCAAACAGACCAGAGAGTTGGAGCACCTCGTGCAACTAGGAGACCCGAGACTTTGGGGCTTTTTAGTGCAGGCAAACAACCAAGTGGGAAATGAGTGATAAAATCACAAAACATTTAGACGATGGGACATTGGTAAGATTCTTCTTCCCTTCCCCAAAGGCTTGGAGGTCAGAGGCACCCAATGAAGCTGATGTGGGAGGGGAAAAAAGATAAAGGAAATTGTCCATTGCACCGTAATTAACCTGTGGAACTCACTGCAACAGAACGCTATCAAGTGATCACAAATGATGATCGAGATAAATAAAAAATGCAGCAAGACATGAGCAGCGGCCAGGATTTTAAGATTTAAAAATACGGCCGAGGCCTTCCCCTGATGTTTCCGTCTAACGCTGAGATTCGGAGGTTGACTGCCCCTAGATGTGGAGGTTCTGTGCAGTCGTCCTGGAAGGAGGACATCCTTTGGAATGATGTTTTTCCAAGTATGTTTCAAACCAAAAATAAACAAGTTCAGCCTTGCCCTGATGTTTCTTCCTAGCACTGGGATTCAGAGGTAGACTACCCCTACGAGGTTCTATTTAGTCACCAGGGCATAAGAACATACTATAGAATGATGTGTTCCCAAGTTTATTTCATAGCAAACCAAACAAACAAAAGCTCCTTGTAGCGAGGTTATGGCAACCTGTATAGCACAGCATGCAGCAGTGAGAAAGTTACCCATCAGCAGTATGTACTTGCGGAGGGCGTGGGCCGCGGGGCTGGCAAAGTGACTCCTTGGCATGTCCCTCTTTTCATCTGGGAAACCGCAGAGGGCGTGTCTGTCTTTGACTCTTCGGTGGCCGCAGGCAAAGCGGCGTGGCTCCCGACCCCACCCCCTCCACCCCTCCCTCCCAGTGCCCCAAATCCTTTGCAGAATCAAGAACAACAACAGCGCACCTTACAGACCGGTGGCTAAGATAATGAAGGGGAAGTGTTTGCAACGCCCGGAAAGCACCATGCGGGCGCGAAGCTATCATTAGCAAGGGTGCCTGCCACCTCCAGCCCCCTCCCACAACCTCACAGCCAGTGGTGCTTAAAAGGGGGCCTAGATCAGGGGTGTCGAACTCATTTGTTATGAGGTCCGGATCTGACATAAACGAGACCTTGTTGGGCCGGGTGTGTCATAAAAGGTAATGCCAGGTAGCGGAGATCTAAACTTTAGAAAGGACACAAACACAAAGATTTTTGTTTTAAAAGAAGAGATTGGATTTATACCCCGCCATTCACTACCCGAAGGAGGCTCAGAGCGGCTTACATAACTCTAAAAGAACCAGTACTTCAGGTTGACGGACAATCTTAGGATCTCCTGGCTATACTACACACAATGCCATGCAATAATAATATTTATTATTACCCCCTCTCAGCCTATTACCCTACCTCACAGGATTGTAGTATAGCCAGGAGATCCTAAGATTGTCCGTCAACCTGAAGTTCTGGTTCTTTTAGAGTTATGTACCACTAGGTGGCAAGCTAAATTTATTATTTGGGCTGAGACAGCTCTGAAAGAGCTGTGACTGACCCAAGGCCACCCAGCTGGCTTCACGTGGAGTGTAGAACCAAACCCAGTTCTCCAGATTAGATCCCATTGCTCTTAACCACTACTCCACGCTGGCTCTCGCTGAGAGGGGGTGATGGGCCAAAAGTCACCCAGTGAGCTTCCAAAACAGAACATGGATTTGAACCGGGGTCTCTGAGAGCATAGTCTGAAGAAATGCACACGAAAGCTTAGACCCACAGTAAAACCTTGTTGGTCTGAAAGATGCCACCGAATTCTAACTTTGTTCAAATCCTAGCCTGGCGCTCTAACCACTATACCAACGCTGGCTTAGGCTGCATACGAGCCACGCCAGTGAGGCATCCTCAGACGCCACCGCCATCTCCAAAGCTGCACCAAGTCATCCTGAAAGCCGACCATCCCGTGCCTTACTCACGGGGCTCCTGCACTCTTGTCCCCATTTCACAGATGGGGAAAACTGACCGCAACAGTCTCCAGGTCTCCTGAAGTCCCGTTCCTCCCACCCCAATGAGTTTGGGAGAGCCCGAGCATGAACACGCATGACGCTCCTGTCACCCCATGACTCAAAGGAAGTGTGATTTACACCCATTCGGGCGGCATGCACAGACAATACCGGCCCCGTTTTGGGCCCTTCCGTGGAAGAGGAGGTGAGCCCTGGTGACTCACGGCCTGCCACCCTGACACACACAACACAGAGGAAACACAGGCCTCTTGGCAACCACAGGAAAGTGCCGGCATTTGGTAGATGCCAGGAGGCCAAGAGGCAGCCAAGGTGCAAGGGCCACCCAAGGAGAGCCAAGCGGGGCGCGGAAGGCAGACACGGTTCCCGGCGTGGGACTGAGCCCTAAAGCCACTACCACGAAGGGGTCCACGTGGGCACCTCTGGAAGTGCAGGGAATGTGTTTGGTCACCGGTACAACTGGCGCTCGTGACCCACAACTGATTTTGACTTGTGCTATCCCGAGTTGCCAGCGTGGTGCTGTAAGTCACATGTCAGACTAGGCACCAGGAGACCTGGGTTCAAGTCTCCGCTCTGCCATGGAAGCTTGCCGGGTGACCTTGCGCCAGCCACACATGCTCAGTCTGACCGACCTCACAGGGCTCCTGTGAGGATACAGTGGGGGAAAGGAGGATGTTGTAAAGCCACTTTGGATCTGCAATGGGGGGTGGAACGTAGAGTATAAATCAAGGATCCCCCAACATGGCGCCCGCCAAGTGTTTTCAGAAAGTGGGTGGGGCTTTTGCCTAGTGAGGCTTCTGATTGGCCACTGGAGATTTCATTGGCTGTGGAAAATTTTTATTAATGTTGCTTTGGCAACAGCTGCCAACACTTCATCGTGTGACCGATGGTAAGCTGCGGCAGCCATTTTGCTAGAAAAGTGGAAATTTAGGAAGAGGGCCTAGAAAATGGCTGAGGGAACCTTGCCGCTGTGAGCACTGATAGTGGCCCTCTGTCTCACACAAACAAAATATTTTATTCAGTCCATTTACAGCCCAACTTTCTCCCCAATGGAGGTGCCAAAGCGTCTCATGTTGCCCTTCCCTCCATTTTACCATCGGAGGAGGAGGAGGAGGAGGAGGAGGAGGAAGAAGAAGAAGAAGAAGAAGAAGAAGAAGAAGAAGAAGAAGAAGAAGAAGAAGAAGAAGAAGAAGAGGAGGAGGAG